AAGAAATTTATCCCAAACAAAGGATTCTCCCAAAAAATGATTTAACTCTAGACTCAAGGATGTGGCCTTTGCTAAGGTATATTTCAGCTCTCATAACTAATAAAAATTGTTTTAACATATCTCAACCTCGCAGTAAAGGAATTCGTACACATATTCAAACAAAAACGCTATATATGCCTGAAAAAACAACAACAACAAAAAAATGTGTGCAGTAATTGTAATACATAAGAAATAGAAGTAAATGAGCCACATTACTCAATGTTTTACATAAATAATAATGGTGTCATATGATAGTCATAGTAAACAGGTGTCGCATTGAAATACACATTTTGAGAAATGCATATTACACTGAAATTACACCCAACTCTCGAACATGAAACATTTAGAGTAAGCTCAGAGTCCATGTGAACTGCAAATCACAAGATATTTTATAGCTTTTTGTTTGTTTTTCTGCAACTCTCTATAAATTTGAGAGTTTGTTTCTGGCGGGTCAGCAGGCTCTGAAATACTCAGATCAGCCTGTCCAGTCCCAACAATCCTGCCACGTTCAAAGTCGCTCCCTCTTTCTTCACCAGTTCCAACTGCAGCAAGTCATCTTCATGATGTCTAGAGATCTAAATGAAATGAGTTGGCTGACTTGCTATTTGTGTTGACAAGCAATCAAGCAGGTGCCCATAATAAAGTGGCCTGTGCAGTGTTTTATGGATTCAACTAATGTACAACAATACCGTGTGTGAAACTAAATTCATGAGATGCAAACTGGAAGAAGGTAAAAGTACGCTTCCTGCTGCAGCCAAAACACATTTAATATTCAAACCTGCAAAGTTGGATTGTGACCTTGTTGCAAGTGAGATGTTAAAAGTCAGAATTTCAACAACTTTTACTTAAAGCTCAAATATTTTGACTCCCAAGTTCAAATGTAATGAACCAATGCAATGATTACTCTCTTCTTTTGCTAATATGTTCAGACATTTTCTCCTAAACGTTTTCTTGAAATTTTATTGAAATGGCCTTTTTTTCCCCCTTTGTTAAGGATAACAATCTTGTGACAGACATATAAATTGCTATTGTTATCCTGCTATCAGTACAGAAAATGTTACAGTAAAGCAATAAGTAAGGTAATCAATGGACAGAAACATGCTTCCTCTCCAGAATCTCCAGGTTTCCACATCCTATATAAGCAGATAGTAATGTTTGCTTTTTATCTTTATTGTTGTTGTTTTGTTGTTGTTGTTTTTACTCATCAATGGTTGCATGAAGATAAAGAGAACAAATACCACACACACTTGATGCATTCCTTAAACAAACCGTCAGAGATTTGGAAACAACATGTGATGGATGTTGGGGGGAAAAAAAAAAAAAAAAAAAACAATAAATAATTTTGGAAACAGCTTTATACCACGACAACAAGATTATTATTGACAACAACTGAAGTGTTCATTTGGGTATCCACAAGTACTCAAAATAAATGGCTTGCACTTGTATGTGGCACAACGTAAGCACTTCCTCATTTAGCTTCTGTGTTTGGCATTTAGTTAATTGTACACGGAGCTCAGTTGAAGGCGGTGTAATATAAATAGCGGGAGTTGTCGCAGGGCTCATTACAGAGTCGGTGTTACTTGGAGTTGCTTCGTATATTGGTTCTGAAAGAGAACTAACCCACGAGATGTGACTCTAAATTAAACGTTGGACAGGATCCTGTTGTACAACCACACCATTACCATCCTCTTAACCACATCACCCCGCACTCATCATCCAGACACGGATCCTTTCTAACTGCTGACATCAATTGAGAAATGCTTTCGACTCAGCGTGCAACGTGTGGCGCCTTCATTTGCAGCTCTGCACCGCGCACTGTGCCTATAAAAGCTGATAATGTGATAATTAAAAAAGCTGACAGGCAAGAACTGTCAGCCGGGCTCCCTGATTTACCAACCTCTGCTATTTGTTATAGCTTCCAAATTACAATGCTTCCACCCTTCAAGTACAACATGTGAAATATCAAATGCAATAATTAAGCAAAGCTGGAGGTGTGATTAAAAAAAAAAAAGAAAAAAAAAAGAAAGAAAGTTAAGTGAAGAAGTCTCTGCGGATGACAGCTTGATGAAATCTGTCCGTAAAAGCATCGCCGGATCAGATCCGGAGCTGAGACGAGGATTTTAGCAGACAAAAGATCACAGTCCTGTCGCTTTCTCTCTTCCTCTCTCAACCACACCATGATTTATTACCTGAAAAGACAAGAGAACTAATTAGTGGAGTAATTAATTAATATAAATTTGCATATTTGCATTTGCAATTAGTGCAGTCAACTGATTAGTCTGAGATGGGGAGTTTGACTCTTCAGCATGTATCTGTGTGTGTGTGTGTGTGTGTGTGTGCGTGCGTGCGTGCATGCGTGTGTGCGTGTGCATGCATGTGTGTAGTGGACCAGAACGACCAGCAGACCAGCTGAAACATTTCGGGGGGGGAGGCAGAGATGAAGGGACACTTTTTGGCCGTTTTGCTTTGGCTTTTAATTAATTAATTATTATTATTTTTTTTTATAGAACCACATGTGCAATTAACGTGTTTAGATACAACTGTCTGCATGCATGCATAAGGTGAAACGTTGCAACATTCCCCATGTTCTGTGCATGCCCTAATTGTCACTGTTGAAGGTGCCCTGAGCTCACGCCAGCCACCTTCCTGCAGCCTGACTCATACTTGTGATCGATGCCCTGCGATAGCCAATACAAGAGAGACTGATAAGTTGCTTTAATTGATTCTCCTTGCAGCAAGGTCACTCGCAGGCACACATTTCCACATGCAATTGTGTATGTGAGTGTTCCACATAACTGAGGAGTGCATATCCCCATATCGAGTGCCAGCTGTGCCCCAGCGAGGATTTGGCAGCGTGCCATTGTGTCTTTTTCCACTGGGTGTGCTTAATGGCTATAATGGTAAGGAACCAACACCGTGCACGCTCCTCTGTTATGTTCACACCATCCTGTGCTTGTAAAGTATCCGCTGAATTTTCTTAATCACTTGTGCATAAAGCTGAAAAAATAAATAAATAAATAAAATTAAGACAAAAAAACAAAGTTGCTTATGAGACATTTTTAGACAAATCTTAGAGGCAATTTCAACTAAAGTAGTTTTGCTGGGAAACTTCTTTGATTTCAACTTGTCTGTTTCACTTTTTTGTGCGTAACATGTAGGTTGAATAAAACGAGTAATTTATAGAAATTAGATTTGACTCTACTTTTTTTTCTAGATGTATTGTTTGCATTCTGACAAAAACCATTTTAAACCCACTCTACCTTTCTTTTTTTCACAGAAAAAAAAAAATCTTAGAGGTTTCTTCTTTCCATCACCTACAATTGAAGATGCAACAGACATAATGCCGTGAACACCGACAGGTGATGTGATGGATCCTGATTATATCTTTATTTGAACTTTATTTATCAGGGTGTGGGATATTAGGCATCAAAGTAGCATTCTGTCATGCAAGTTGATGGAAGTTAAAACAGATAAAAGGAGGGAAAATGAGCAAGTGTCGGGATTTTGACGTGACACTGACACCCATTTCTTTAATAGCTGACCACTAAATTGAAGGAAGATCTCTCTCTCTCTCCATCTTCTCACCATGCAGACTGGGGAAGATGGTAAAGAACTAGCATAGCTTCTTGTTGAAAAACTAAGACTAAAACTAAAAATCTTCAGATCAGCAACTGTTTATGGTAGATGAAGGTTTACTGTTTGATCGATAGAGTCAAAAGGTGTTAAATTCAAAACGTTCTGATATTTCAAAGAGTTTATCTTGCCATATTCTCTATCTGGCACATATGGAAGAGAATGATCCCTTTGGCATCACGGATGCATGCTTATCTGTAGGCACTAGATACTTTTCTACATCCTTTGTTTCAAATCAAACCCAACTTTTAGATTGTAGTCAAAAAGCTAAATTTTAGACTAATTCATTAATTTTTACATTCATTAAAAAAATTCCAGTCGATATCATCAAGCTCTGCATGCTAAAAATGTTTCATATCAGACAGGAGTTTTCGCCCTCTCTTCCTTGAAGGATTGTTTTAATTCAGTCGTATTGCAGGTCATGCCGATGCACCTCAACTACTCTGCCCATTCCAAAATCTTTTTTCTTCCAGCCAGATCTAGCATGACACTCACCTTCCAAATAGTCTGTAGTCTGTAGCCAGTGCACATAAAATTGTCCTATCACAATGTCTCTTGATAAATCCAACCAAGATTTTGGTGTTCTTTCTGGTCAGTGGACTTTTCCAGCAGGAATCTCTCCTTTGCATGCAGTTTTTTTGCATCTATTTGTCTCTTTCTTATTGTTAAATGGTGAACATTGACACAGACTGATGTACATTTAGGTCTGCAAGCCTTTAGATGATATTCTGGCTTCTTTTGTGACCTCTTGGATGAATCATTGCAGTAATTTTGGAATTACAGCCAATCAAACCTGTTCCATTTTATTTATTTATTTTTTGTCAATTGTGTAAAATGGCTCTCTTGCTAGATTGCTGGAGTCAGTCTTAGAGATAACTTTGCTGCAGTTTTCAGACTGGCAGATGCCAAGAACTGGATTTCTTATCTGAATGGTGTAAGTCTTCTTCAGATCTTTTAGCCTACTTCGTGTTGTTAGGCAGGTCCTGGTTGTGGCTAATGAAAGTAAACCAAAAATGTGGTTAATTACAGCTAATTGATTATTTAAATTGAGAAGCATCTACATGATTATTTTAATCTATCTATCTATCTATCTATCTATCTATCTATCTATCTATCTATCTATCTATCTATCTATCTATCTATCTATCTATCTATCTATCTATCTGCCTGTAAATCCTTGCGCATTTCATCTTTTTTCATGGAATAAATAAATAAATAAATAAATAAATAAATAAATAAATAAATAAAGTTCCTGTCTCTTACAGCAGGTGAGAAGCAGGTATTAGTCGTTATCCCTCTCCGGTCTGCGTTTTTGACGGTAAACGTGGGCCTCCCGGTGCCTTTTTACCGGAGCTGCCAGATGATTGGTGCGGAGTGGAGGGTCCCACGGGACGCTGAACACGTGGTCTCGGCTGCCACAAGACGTCAGCGGCAAATGGCATGGGTACCCGGTGTTGGCATGAGTGTCATTCCTCAAAGAGAGAGGAAAGGAAGGGGGAGAGCGGATCGCAGCGAGGAGGAGAAAGGAGGGTTTGAGCTCTGGCTGGTTTAATTGTGCAGTTTTGCAAAAAAAAAAAAGAGAAGAAGACGCTGCAGCGGAGATTCAGAGGCGATAATTGGGACCATGAGGACAAGTACATGCTGACCAGAGGTGGGTATGTTTTGTGTGTGTGTGTGTGTGCATGTGTCTGTGTGTGTTGTATTAATATTTCTTTTAATGCAAGTAGTTAATTCATTATTTTTCAGCTGAATTCGAAGAAAACAAAAAACAAAAAACAAAAAAACAAGGGCTGGATTTTGTAAAACTGTCCAAAAAATATGCAGTTAAAGGGCCAAAACATTTTTCAGATCATTGTGAATTGAGTGTCTTTGAAAAGACATCAGTCACATCGGCCTCGCTTGCCAATTTGTTCCTCTTCCTCCTGGGAGGACTCATTCACAGGGTAATTAACTGACAACCTTCAAAAGACGTCGGCGCTGAATTTTGCTCTTACAATTTACAATTTCCCCCTTTTCCTTTTTTTTTTTTTTTTTATTCTTTTCCTGCAGGAGATATGTTGACGCTGCCATTCGAGGAACCTCATATGATGTGTGAGCCGCGCTTTGGTGCCAACTATCCCCGCGAAAGCCTGCCTGACAGCCTGCAACAGCAGGAGCGACAACAGCGCCCCACAGCCAGATCCGACCCGGAGATGATGAGGGAGGCCGAGGACGACCTTTCCGACAGGGAGGAAGACGAAAGAGAGGACGACCAGGACGAGAACGGGCTACAGAAGAAACGGGGGCCGCGGAAAAAGAGGCCCGGCAAGGAGCAGGTGGACAGGGCCAAACTCCGGCGCCAGGAAGCCAACGCCCGGGAGCGCAGCCGGATGCACGGCTTGAACGCCGCGCTGGAGAGTCTGCGCAAAGTTGTGCCGTGCTACTCGAAAACTCAGAAACTGTCCAAGATCGAGACGCTAAGACTGGCAAAAAATTACATCTGGGCCCTGTCAGAGACCCTGAGCGCGGGGAAGAGACCGGACCTTCTCGCTTTTGTGCAAACTTTGTGCAAAGGATTATCTCAGCCTACCACCAACTTGGTGGCGGGCTGTTTGCAGCTGAATGCCAGAAATTTTCTCACGGATCACAACGGAGAGGTGATGTTTTCTGGCAGGTCGCCTTACGAAGCTATGTACTCCTACACCAGCTCGGACATGAACTCGCCCCCGGGCCACAGCGGCGGCGCGCTGGACACCGGCTCCAAACCTTTCCGACACTACAGCTACAGCAGCGCCTACGAAACGTACTTCGAGAACCCGTCCCCGGACAGTGGGAGCCCGCATTTTGACAGCCAGCTGAGCCCCCCGATGAACTTCAATGGAATTTTTTCCCTAAAACACGACGACCCGCAAGATTATGGGAAAAGCAGCCACTATGGTGTGCGCTACTGTGGCGCGCCAGGGCGCTCGGCCCTGGCACCTAACTCAATGTACCGAGTCTCCCCAGAGGCCCGTTTCCCCTACGACCTGCACGTCCGCAGTCAGTCCTTCCAAACGCAGGGGGAAGTCAATGGCTCTTACCACAATTAATTCATCACATGGGACAAAGTGCAAACTTTCAGATGCAAATTTCTCTGCACAAAAGTAAAAAGGAGAGAGAGAAAAAAAAAGAACTCAGATGTTGATGCACATTTTGGGGTTTAAAGTTACTTCTTAACTGTAAAGGCAGCAGTTTGGATGGTATTTTGATTTATGTTCAATGACTATTATCTTAAATACTTTAGATCCCGGTTTTTTAAAAGAGAGAGAGAGAGAGAAGTTTTAATAAATTGGTGCTACGTGCTTGTTTCCAAACAAGTCAAATTCAAGACGAAACACGACCTTGTTTACTTTTTATTTATTTATTTATTTCTCGCTTTTTTTTTTTTTTACAGTTGCAGTGTAGTGTTTTTTTTCTTCTTCTTCTTCATGGAAGTACAGCAAATGTTGGTAATTATACACTTTTTGGATATAGCTGATTATACCCAACATAGTTTGTTATATATAAGACAGATTTAAATGAAAGGGGGGAAAAAAGAGCTAAATTGACTTCAGGTCATCAGAGAAGTTGACTCAGACATGTTTAGAGCTGGAGAATCTGTGTTTTCAACAAAACTTCAATTGAGCTATGCAATCTTGCCAAATGCAATCAGTGCTTATTAGAAATCAAATGTATTCTTACAAACACACCACATAATTTAGGACTTAAATAGGTCAACTGAAGGACAAGGAGGTAAAAGCAAAGGCGGAAAATGTCACATTTAAATTCATTCCTATATGTCGGATAATTTTTACGGTATCGAATTGAATGTAATTTTTTTCCAGTATTTATTAACTCTTTATTATTATTATTATTATTATTATTATTATTATTATTATAATTATTATAAGTCCGTTTTGTTTGATTGTGAATAATATATATTAAAAATAATGTAAAACCACAATGTAAAGTTTTATGTGAATTTCAAGTTCATTTATGTTGCATTGTTGTAAAATTTCACTGCAGCTGACAGGGGGAAAAAAAAATCACATTTGTGTTCAGCTGGAATAAAATGTAAAATGCCTTAAAATGGGGGAGAAAATGATAAAGGCAGTGGCCATTACTAAAAACCACAGAGGGGAAGTTTTTGGTTGCTTGATGTGAACTTTTCTTTCCCGTGGAGCGACTGTGATGCACTTCGTATATTTCTGCACAATGTTGGTGGCCGTGCTCATAAATCCTGTTGATTTTTGTAATCGGATACCGAATGCTTGGATGATGAATCTAATTTATTTCCTGAAACGCACACACACACACACACACATGCACGCACGCACGCACGCACGCACAAACTCTTCACACTGACGCGCACTTCTGGAAAGCCGTTATGGATCGAATTATTCGTGAAGTAATGTGTTAATGTTTTGTGATGTGTTTTGTCGCAATAAAAATAAATAAATTAAAAATAAAGGAATAAATTAAAGAAGAGGATGTGGGAGGCTTTATGTTGTGGCCCAGATTCTCAGCTTTCTGTGGCAATGATCGACAGCAGATGGCAATTAGGGAAAAAGAAAAAAAAATAATAATAACAATAGTAGCTGGAAAATAAATTAAGATAAAACCATTACTTTTATTTAATATGTATTAATACCACTCGGAATGTGGCCGCGCAGCACCGTAAGAGGATCTGCACTCAGATTTTTTATTTTTATTTTTATTTTTTTTACATCCAAACGCTAAAACGCTCGAATTCCTGCAACTCATAGTCACTTTGCGTAATTATAAGTTGGCATTCATTGTTCTTTTTAGGATAGTTTTTTTTCCTCTCTTTTTTTTTCGTTTTTATTTGTCGCTAATTTGACTGACTTCCAGCTGATCAGATGGCTGATTTGTGTCAGAAGCGCCCAGGGGGTGTTGGATGTCATCCAGACTGCGGCTCATGGCGGTTGGTTGATCCTCCCAGTTTGGAACCAAGTGGGTTTGATAATCCCCGGAGGCAACAACATTACTGCTGTAAAAGACAAGCGATCTATTCGAGAACAGAAACGAGCAACAGTCTTTCCTGTCTGACGTTAGTTCCTGCTCTTTTCATGTTTGGAGCTATCCCGCATGCTGCTCTTTCTGGGTGATTTTCTAGACGTTTCGGAGTGCTTCAGTAAGGCCGTGTTCAGTGGTTTCACGGGAGTGTTGAGGGGTAATAGTCTCACAAAAGTGCCGTTGATGATCACTTTGTTTAATGTTGCATCGCAAACATTGTACTGTCACGGAAGATTGCGAATACTCATAACTTTCAGGCCCCTGAACTTCCTTCGTAATATAATGCAATTTTGTTCAACATTCTTTTAACTAACAGCAAACAGCACTACTTATACCACTTTGTTAAATTATGTGTAACCCCTTAACCTTTTTACACTTTGTGAGAATTCAGCCACAAACCCAAATTTTTAATGGGTTTTATGAAATAAACCAACACAAGTAATGCATAACTGTGAAGTTAAGGATACATGGCTTTAAAAATGTTGTTTTTTTTTAAATGAAAGTCTAACAATTGTATATTGTGCATTTTTATTCAGCCCTCCTTTTGTTCAGTATTCCTAAAAAAAATCCAGTGCAACCCTAACTAGTAAATATAGAACACTTGTGTGCAGTTCAGTCTTAGAGAAAATACATCTGCTCTTTGTTCTAGTGAACAAACAGCATAATGAAGACCAAGAAACCCAGGGACAGGTCAGAGAGAAAGTAGGAGAGAAGTTTAAGGTCAAGTTATAAAACAATATTTTCAGCTTTTATCATAAATTTACAAAGACAGCCAATCTAAACTGACAGGTTGGGCAAGGGACGTATTGTTCAGAGAACATCCCAAGACACTCCAGTCAAAAGGAAAATATTAAATGCTGTGTTAGGAGGAAAACTAACACTGGACATCCCTACATCATTCTTAAACTTTCTTAAACAGTGACAGGAAAACCTGTTGGTGATGGCAGGATGGAAGGATCCAAATAATGAGCAATGTTGTTGGGAAACCTGTTGAGCTTGAGGTGTAAGTTCATCTTCTAGCAGGACAACAACCCAAAATTATGTCAGAGCTTCTTTAGAACAGCTTATTTGTAACCATATTCATGTGAATATGGAACGGCCCAGTCAAAGTCCAGACTTAAATGGAATTTAGAATCCTTAGTGAGACTTCAAGGTCATGAGATGCTTTTTGTGCCCATATACCCAATCCATGCCATGTACTGTGACTGAGACATTGCTTATTCTTCCACTTCATAATTATGCACTCAGGTTGGATGTTATAACGAGGTGAAACGTTAAAAAGATCAATGGGGTACCAAAACTGAAATTCCTCTTCAGTTTCTCACTTAAGGTCAGTATTTAATACAGTTAAATAGACAAAATAATATCAGAGATAACATTTAACCCTGCCAGTTAATTTTGTTGCTTTAACACCTGGGATCACACTTGTGTCTGCGATGTATGAAAATCAGAGAGGGTGAAGAGACACTTTATAAACACAAACAACCTAATATTGTGCTTCTGGAATCCTGCTCAATCCCTTAAGCAAGCAAAAAGGTGGAACAAGGTCAGAGACTGAGGAAATTCAAATTTGGAAAAATGTATTTATCTGTTAATTAGTGAGTTTCTCAGGTCTTTTGTTTGAAAAATGTATTAAACTGTTGAGATCAGCCTGATCCAATTCAGTTCAATATATTTATTTAGCACAGCTTCACAACAAATGTCTCCAGGCACCATACAAAAACAAACAAACAAACAAACAAACAAACAAACAAACAAACAAAACAAAAAAAATTAGATCAAATGTACAGAAGTAAATTGTCAATTTGAATTAGATAATCTTATAAGCTATGAGCCAAGGAGTAAAAGCAGAGAAAAATCAGTCAGAATACCTCATTCAACTGCTTTATCTAAAACTAAAACAGGATTAAACACAGAAACAAAAAGAACATGAAGTTATTGGTAACATCCCATCCAGCATTTTCCCTCCCAAACGGCAAAGGTCCGTGTAACTTTTATGAAAAAACAAAGAACAAAACAAAAAACAAAAAAAAAAAAAACAGAGCAAACATAAAGTTAATGCAGTAATAGCTAATGCACAATTGGAGAATAAAAGAAAGTAGTAAAGTGATGAAATTGGTCATTCTGTCTTTCAGCAATCTATCCCAGTATGAGAATAGCTCAGTATAACCCAGGTCCCTGTAACTCCAAGTTTTGCTTTAAAAAGGAAAAGTTAATGTAAAGTCGTAAACGTTAAACTGGGTATTTTTGGTTCACTGTCAAAATCTGGAATCTGGATTCACAGGAAAGGAGTCCAGCAAGTAACTAAATATCTGCCTAAAGAAAAAAACATCTTTTTTTATATATATTTTTTTGTTAATCATGTGACATTAGGGCAGTCTGAATTGTAAACATAATCCTATTTCACAGGGTACGATTTTAAAATTGTTTAATGATTTTCAAAGCCTTAGAGACCACAAAGGTGACGATAAAAAATATAAATAAATAAAAAAATCAAGGTTTAACAAGTCTTACCCAGTTTGGTGCGTCCAACCAAACGGCAGTTGGAGCAACACAGCACACACGAACCGATTTCATTCACAAACATTCAGATTGCAGACAGAAAATCCCGCATAATCCCGCGATACCAAGCGTGAATTTAGCGTAAAGAAACATGGCAGGCGAGCGATAGCGATAGTTTGTGGACTTATTTTAAGCGGGAAAAGAAGGAACAAAAAGAAAAGGCGTTGGATAAAGGATTGGAGACAGTGCGAGCAGCTATGGCTGTACTATGATTTGGAGGTGAGTTGTTCTGTTTTTGTTTCGTCTTTAACCTTCAAGTGTTACTTTGTGTTCGTTTTAAGTTTTTGCTGTCTTAATGTTATAAAATATTTACATGCATTTGGATAGTATCAATGGCAAGCCCTGGCTGAATGAATAAACTTCTAGTGACCTGAAAAGTTACCGGGTACATCAATTACTGTAACAATTTCAGTTCTTTTCCAACATATAATGCTGAGTAAACATTCACACTGGATATGATATGTCAATGTGGGCTTCTTCGTTTTGGACTTTCTTCTGTGCTTACGTTACCACGCTTTCTGATTGGCTACCTAGCTGTCCCAATCAACAGGCTGCGCTCTCAGTTAGGAATAGAAATGGGGGTCATCCCAATAAAAGGGGCGTTATAAGATTTTCAAAAATCGGCATAAGATCCTTCAGTGTGAATTAGGCACCAAAATAAATGTATAAGGTATTTTTTTCTTGCATTTGAGAAAGTTTG